TATGTAACACATGATTAATAGCTTAGGTTTGAGATAGACATGAAAAGATATTTCGGAGAAAATTAAATTTAAAATCTGTAATTAATGATGAACGAATATATATAAAAGCAAAGTGCGTTTACGTAGAGTATTTCCAATTCTCGTAGAGTCTACAAGACAACTTGCACTTTGAGAAAGGATTACATATCAACAAGTGTGATATAAATAATCTATAATGATCTATCTGTCTGCTTTTACGATTTGAATTCATAATCTATACATATTTCAGAGACAAAACTTTTACTAAAATATGACCTTTATAACATATTTTATTTTAATTTTGTATGGAGTTAATTTCCTTGCTTTAGAATAGAATATTAGGTGACATTCATTATTGCCATTTTGACTATGATTATGTTGTTTTTCATATTGTTTTCACTCATTTCATAAATGTTGTGAGATCCAATTGTTGTTTCCTTTTTTGGTTTAAGTCCCTCATTCTTTGGATCTTGCCCAACTAATAGAGGAAAATAATAATAATGCTATTTGTCGTTTCACTTTATTTGTTTTGTTTTAATTTAATATAAAATTTGAAAAAGTACAATTTTTTAAAAATTATAATCTTAAATTAAAGAAAAAATGTATAAGTACCTTTTGAAATTATAATTGAAATTTCAGAGACACGCCTTAATTAAACTAAGAACCTATTACCTTCCGAATCTAATTTTTTATGATTTTGTACACCTTTTTGACTTACTTGGCATCTAAAATCTAATAAGAACATAAATAATATAAATATTTAGGTCAAATTTTATCACCAATAAAAACTATGATGCATTTCTGATAAATACTTTTTCTTTCTTAATCATAAGTCTTCGATATTAACCCTTCTAAATAAAAAGTCATAACTTTTATTAGTCAAATCCAAATTTAATCGAATATCGAACACCTACCAAAAAAAGGTATATATATATATATACTACATGAATAAAATTAACATAGTAAATTAAAAAATAGTCAAAAACAATTATATTTAATCATTAAAAGAGAGACTTTTGCTCTTTCATCTTAGCCTTCTCCACGTGAAACCTTCAATTACTAATTATAGCTCATGAAGAGTCTCACATGAACCATTAGGTCCACAATAAATATATTTAATATAATTTTACATATATCAATTTTTATTTCTTATTTTAAAAAAAGTTATTCTCGATAGATCTCGTATTCAAAAAGATACCTTGTATTTATGTGCAATTCAAGGCCATAGTCATTTGATAAAGATAAATTCCTTTCGATAAATGATCAAAAATTTTCTTTATATATACATTAGATGTTCAATATCCTTTTACCAGTTTATGTATTTATTTATTTTTATGTTTTAGACCTTCATAGTGAAATTTTTTTATGAGTCCACCATTGACGTTTACATATATAACACTCATTTTTATAGTAGAATACACTATATTCATGCTTAACAACGAAACTAGAATTTCAATTAATGTTATCGCTTGATTTTTCAAATTGAACAGGTATTATTAAATTATTATTTTGTATAATAGACAAATAAAGATAAGAAACGTATATTTTTAGTAAGGACAACACGATAATAGTAATGGAGGATGAAGGAGTATATCCATCACTATATCATGCCCAATGACGGAGTCATGAATTTCATCAGGCATAATACATAAATATATCATTTAACTTAGTCTCATTTTATGTTTATGCCCTCAAACTTTGAATGTGAACAAATAGACACTGAAATGTTTCTAAAATCGAACAAAATCATACGTGTCATAATACACATAGGACACAAATTTTCATGTAGGATGCAATGTAGAATGTTTGTGTCTATTTGTTCAATTTTATACAAGTTTAAGTATCTACTTGTGCATATCCGAAGTAGGAGGACATAAATGTGAAATGAGATCAAGTTAAAAGACATATTTATGTGTTTTGTCATTTCATAAAAGGGTGTCCAGAAATAATAGCTTGTTATGTTAAGTATATCCAAATTATATTTATTTAATCATTTCAAACATCATTTTACTTGTATATATATATTATTTTTTTTCGTAAAAATTAGACACCCTTATCACTATGTGATTACGTATTTTTGCGTATACAATATAACGGAAACCCCTAAAACCCATTGAATTTCACACGCGATCTCACGTGTGTAATTGACTGTTCATTTTGCATGCGCGTTTGTGTTTTTTTTAAATTTTTGACCGTTGTATTGACTCGTGGACCAAGATGATCTAACGGTGGATATCGCACGACAAAAAGTACAGTAGCTAATCGTAGCCGTCGACATGTTGAGATTTGTGTGTCCCTTAAACCTGGGAAATCCGACAATAAGATGACATGTCGGGTTAGTAGGGTAAGAGACATAAATTAGAAAATTATATGTCGGACTTTTATTCATCTTGCGTTTTTTTAAAATCAATTTTAAAATTAAGTTATATTATATTATTTTAATATTTTAAATAAAAAATTTAGATATTCGGAAATTATACAAAAAGAATTATAAATTGTAATTTTTTCATATCAATATAATGAAAAAAATATATCGTAAAATGTTAGTAATTTTTTTTTATAGTTTTACTCTAAAAAAAATTTATAACAATTAAAAGTTAACGGAGATAGTATAATTCCTTTATTTTATATTACTTGATTATTTTATTATAAATAGTTGTTTCATAAGAGTATCCATATTATTTTTTATAAAATTTTCAAAAAGTTTTTAGGGTTGAATATTTAGTAAAATTCTTAATATGTGTATAAAAAATAACTAACTAAATATGAAACATAGTGAGTATTATTTACCTTGTTTGTTAATTATTTAATAATTAATTAAGGTGAAAGAAATTACATATAATAGGCGTGAGAAGAGGGATTAAGGTGAAGAATATTGGGGTGAGACGATAAAATTAGACGTGAATCGAGGATAGGATCTTAGATAGTTGAAGAATGAAGAGTACGAAGATCACAAATCATAGAAAGTTAATTGATAATTAAGAGTTGTTTCACTTTTCAATAGAGTTATGCTTCGTGAGACCTGAGAGTGAGCTCAATATTTATCGGAATATTAGCCTTATTGGTATAATTTCTTAATTACTTTTGATATATGTTATCATTTTTTATATATTGCATTTCATATCACATTATTTTATTATTCGTTTTCATAACTACGTACATTAAATAAATACATTTAAATAAAAATCTTTCGTAAATAATTTATTACGAAATAAAAATATAATTTACATACTCTCAAACCAAAATTGATTGGACTCCATCGTTTCTCAAGTGTCAATCCCTTTTTGAATAATTTATTTAATACTTTTTGAATAATTTATTTCATACTTTTTGTGAATTGGAAAAATAGTTCAAATGTCGTTATAATAAAAGCAACCAACCAAACGACAAGCATACTATTTAATTTAAAATGCATGCATTATATTATTTATTAATTTGAGTAATATGTTAAGAAGTTATATTATAGTGATATTTATAAGATTCTTTTTCATATGATTAGTGTGAGTGTAATTTTCACAATTTTCTTTCTGCTATATCTTTTTTTTATCTGTTTTATGGTGATTCGTGATTGTATAAATGGATGGGCTAACACTTATATTAACAAATTATATTCTATAAATAGATTTAAGAAAGATTAAATTTAATTGAGAGTGTTTTTTTTAAATGATAATAAATCTAGATTGTCAAAAAGAACTTTCTAGAATTATATACTTAGTTCATTTTGAAAAATTCAAGTCCTTAAAATTTAATTTACAAAAATAGTGAATAAGAAGAGGATGCTATTCAAAGTTGGACAAAAGCACAAAGAGTTATTGGGCTGGGCCATGAGTGATGAACTTTGATTTGAAAAAAAAAGTGAACTAATGGGCCCTATTCTATGGGCCCATTGGTCCCATACCATTACTTGTGTTCCTATCATTTGCAAAGATAAAAGGAAAAAGTAGTTCCAATGTGGCTTGTTCAATGGGTTACGAGAGGCTACCCAACGTTTATTGTGGGCACGATAACTGATACACAAGAGGAGCGTTCTTCCCGATCCTTTCGTACTAGAGAAAGGTCCTACCAATGCTCTAACACATACATCAGATATAAATCGAACTGTCTCACGATGTAAAGCTGGCAAAAAGCATAGAGCGTGTGTGGTACGCTTTTGCCCTTCGTTTGTCCACGAAGTTGAAGTGGCATGAAAATCGTGATGCCTTAACGTTATAGGTTAACGTGAAAGTAATCACTATATTTTTTTTGGAATAATTTATAAACGACCCCTTTAACTTGATTTAACCTGGCATCTATGTCCTTTAATTTTGTTACGCAAAAGTAATTCCAATATTGCTTCTTCAATGGGTCGATAAAGGTAAGGCTAGCGAAAAATATAGAGCTTGCGTGATACATTCTTACCCTTCGTTCATCCACGAAGTTAAGGTGGCATGAAAATCGTAATACCTCCATGTTATAGGTTAACATCAAAGTAAATCACAATTTTTTGGCATAGTTTTCAAACGAGTCCTTTAACTCGACCTTAGTTAATATGTATGTCCTTTAATTTAAGTATAAAGTTGAACAAGTATTAGTTAACAAGCATACTACATTTCATCCTACGTGTCAATTCACATGAGATACACTCAAATTAATTTATATTATTCAACTTTATCAATTATCAAGAACAAATATAGGGATAAAACACAAGTATCCCTAGACTATGACATAATTAAGAGACACACTTTAATTAAACAAGTTTCTATTGTTCTTCTGAACTTTTTTTTTGGTAATTTTGTACACCTTCTGAGGTACGTGACACACTTTGCGTCTCTACGTAACTAAGACGCATGAAAGGAGTACAAAATTACAAAATAAAAGATTGGAGAAATACTAATATTTTAGCTTAATTAAAATATGTTTTTAAAATTTCGATCATAGTCTAAAGACTACTCGTGCCTTATTCCACCAATATAAAAGAGCTAAGAAAAAAGGACAATCTTGAGACTTGGCTGCTGCAGTGCACTAGTCTTCACAGGGTTAAGCTAATTTCAGCTCAAATTTCTCTGCTTTCAAATCCCAAAGTTCTTTTTTTCTTTTTCAAGAAAATTCATGTCACCTCTGTCTGTAAAGTGAAAAATTACCCAACCCCTCTTGTGTTTTTTGCTTTTTTTTTCTTTCTCATTCATGTTTTGACTAGTGTCTAGCTAGTACTTTGTTCCCTTTATATAATGGTGTCAAAATCTTGAAAAGCTCATAAAACTAGTGTTTCTAATGTCTTGAGTTTCTTGAAAAGAAAAAAAAGTTCAAAAGACATGATCTTGTTTTTTTTTTGGATGACATTTTTAGTTCTTGTTTTGGTGATACCAATGGTGTCAAAATCTTGAAAAGATTATAAAACTACACCATCAAGTGTCTTCCCAAGTTCTTGGGAAAAAAGAGGATATACTTTTTGTTGGTTTTAGTGCTTCATTTTGGATTTTGAAAAGCTCATAAAACAACTACAACCTCCTCTCAATTTATTGATTTCTTGAAAAAAAGGAGTTAAAAAGACTTGATCTTGGTTGTGTTTTTTTTTTTTGAACATTTTGAGTTTTTGGTTTGGTAATTATAATACCATAACTATCTTCCCAATTTCTTGAAAAAAGAAGAGTTAAAAAGACTTGATCTTGGTATTGTTATTTGACATTTTTATTTGTTGGTTTGGTACTTATAATACCATAACTATCTTCCCAATTTCTTGGGAAAAAAAAGAAGACATGATTTTGGTTTGTTTTTGACATTTTAAGTTCTTGGTTTATAAGTGGTGTTAGAATCTTGAAAATCTCATAAAATTACCATCAACTGTCTTCCTATTTTCTTGAAAAAGACATGATTTTGATTGGTTCTTGACCTTTTTTGGGGTTCTTGATTTTGGTATAACAAAAGAATGGGAGAAGTGGAAGGGGGGTGGGGTTGGCCACCATCACCAAGTGGATCACCAATGTACATAACAAAAGATGATCATTGGACACATTTTGATAATTCTGTTAATGCTGTTTCTTTTGGTTTTGTTGCCACTGCCGTTCTTATTTCTATGTTCCTTGTCATGGCTATTTTTGAGAGGTTTCTCAGGCCCAATTCACAAGCTTTATCGACGTCCCGTGGACGGAATCTTGGTGATATTGAGTCTCAGATGAGCTTCAATGGAAAACTTGGTCATCAAACATCTAAAGTAAGTGTCTTTAGCTTGAATTTTTAGTCTAAGAAGTTGTAATTTGTAAATACTATATATGTTGTATCTGTGTCCTTGTAATTGTTAATCAACAAGTAAAATAATCACAGTTAGCTCAAAGCCGAGTTAGGATTTAGAGTTCATGAGTTCGGGATTCTAAAAAAAATGTAGAATATTGGTTTCTTGATAAATTGTTTATACATTGAATCAATTTTTAAATACAAATGCAGAAAGCTATGAATAGAAATTTAGTTATTCATAGTATTACTCTTGTAGTTTCTTGACTTTTGATTTTTGCTACTATATGTTGATTCTTGAGCTGGTTGTCTATCAGAAACAACCTCTCTACCTCCCAAGTTAAGAGTAAGATCTGCGTACACTCAACAAGGTTTTGTCGAACCTGTAGGCGAAGCTCTAGCCCAGGCCCTGAGTCGGGGCTTTTCTACTGTCAATGGCACATAGCTAATCTAAACACAGTCAGGACACTGAAGCTAAGTAGTAAAAAAGTAGTTCTGCAGCAGTATCATAATATCTCTTTGAGCTGATCATACATTACAAAGAATTGCAATTAAGATAACTTCAAGAAGTTCAACATTGCTGAAACCTTTTGCTTCGTCGAGTGAGCAAGACTATCTTGGTGAATACAATTAGAACTGGCTTCTTAGGCGATGCATAGAAGCCACTTCTAATAATCTATCGATAGAAGCCCCCACCTAAAGTTCTGACCATTGCTTTAAGCTCTGCAATGGAAGAATGCCCACATATTTAAGTAAATAGATGAGTCTTATCAAACTGCAGTTTTTCTTAGGTGTATTCTTCACATACTTCCATTGATCTCTTGCTTCCAACTATTTTCCTGACCATCCAGGATACCTGTTCTGGCTACTTGAACCCTGGTGGTTGTTGCATGAACTATTTGAGTAATCACCGGTTTGTCTGCGATTGTGCTCTACTGCCTACAGGCTTTCTGATTGCACCCTAGAGCTAACGAAGCTACCAAAAATCACAATTGGATCTTTCCTGGTCTCCAATATCATATCCATAAGTGAGTATCGTGAAAAATGCTGAATCAAAGACGGACTTGCGATCATGCAAGACTAGATAAGATTGAAAATGACCAAATTCGTCAGAAAGTGCAAGTCGCACATATTGATGATGAAATGAGAGAAGTTATGGTTGGGTCATGGCCTACCATGAACTATGGACGCCATAACGGTCCTTACATGTGACACAATGATGAGTAAAGGTGTTAAAAGGAGATGGAGTATTATCTAAATTACATAGAGGTAAGTTTGTCTCAAAAGACACACAAATCTTTGGAATCAATACAAACTTGGCTATAAACAGAATATGTTGGAAGATTCAGTATTCGTCCCTTTGTCCTTCACTACTCAAATAATGTGCTTTATTTAGTCTGATTGAAACTTGTGATGTGCCCTTAACTCACACAGCATGATATGCTCTCTTAATACTAAACTAACACGCTTACAGGAGGGGAAGCAAAGTGTCTTCAGCCATATGCCCCTTGCAATAATTTTTTTGAAAATCTTGCTCCTTTGATTTGGCAGAGGTAATATATGGTGAAAGGGGCCAGCCTAATGTTCTTCAGGGTCTATCGGAACTCTCTATCTCACAAGATAGGGGTAAGGTCTGCATAAACTCCACTTGTAGGATCACACTTGATATGTTGTTGTTGACGGGGTCAGCCTACCAACACTATTGTCCTACATTCGTGTGCTAAATAGATAAAACATGATGGCCTCAAATTTTATCTAGCTATGATTTGTTGTTTCGACATCTAATCAACTCGATGTTTTACAATCCAGAAAGATGGTTGCTTCAGCACTAGTACTAATTCTGTTACATGACATGATCAAGTCTAGCTTGCTTGGTTTGTACTTCATTAGTTTCTTGAAAGATTTATTAACAATGTGGTTGTTGATTAGCTGATGAAGTGACTTGGCTTATGGCTTTAGGTGTCAACGAAGGCTCGAGAAGTTTCTGTGTTGATGCCAGGAGAAGATGTCCCTACTTTTCTAGCCAATCCTGCTCCCGTACCCTGTCCTCCTGAACGCGATCCATGGCCTCTCCATCAACAGAATTCCTTGCCCGGTCTCTTGAACTTGGATTCGAATGCACAATCCTAGCTAGCTCAATTTGAAGGCAATAAACATTGACAATACCAAATTGATGGAGTTCACCAATTGGTTTTTTTGTCCCTCCCCTTGGCTCCTTAATGTAATGTACATATAGCATATAGGTATTGGCTTGTTAAAAGCTCTTCTTATCTGTTTAATTGAGTCGAGGGTCTTTCTGAACAATTTTTCTATGTTTATAAAATGAAAAGTTGCATACCTTTATTCAGATCGACGACTGTAATTGTTGTTATAATTGTGTTTCTTGTCTATGATTGGATCCCAAAATTCTTGACCATGTTATTATATTTGATGCAATCTTACAAAAGTACCAGTAAGTAGTAGAGACGAATTGAGGATTTTATGGGTTATGAATATTAAGAAATGACATCTTATTGGATTAGAATATTATTTATATATAAAATGATGTCTTTTAACACAAACATAAAATTTAAATCAAAACTATTGAATTTTATCGAAATTGTAATGGTCTGTTCTTTGTCTTTTGCCATTTGAGGGTTGTTGAGATGAATATGGTAGCATAAAAGCTACCAGTCATAGTGTGACAACTGACAAGTAATTATATGAAACAGTTTGGAATTCGAAATTTAGATAAATCTATATTTTATCGTAATTTTTTTTTATATATTTCTTAAATATTTTGAATTGATAATTATTGTGATTTATAGTAATTTTCTGTAGTTTATAGATATATAAATTTTATTTCAGAAAAATTGAAGATTTCATACGCAAATTCTTGATCAAATGTAAACTGATTGACTCTCGAAAAATCAAATACATTATATAAATTGAGATAAAGAAATATTTTTTTTTCTTTGGAGGAGAAATCAAAATTTTAACAATTGAATTTTAGAATAGGATATTAAGTGTTATAAGTTATAACAAAATTCTAAATTTAGTATTTTGTATATTTATTAAGTTTTTTTTAAATATTAAAATACTTGATCAATATTCATGCTTTTAGTTCTGCTTTATTTATATATGATATTCAATATTTAGTTGTGTCACTGATAAATATCGATTCGCTCCAATAAAATTTATTAAAAGAGAAAGTGTATCGATTATCAATTTTTTAATTTAAAATTTTTTATTAAAAAAATAAGAGATAATATTAATTCCACCGTAGCCTCAATAATTACAAGTCACAATTCAATATTAGTCAAAGTTTCCCAATGTACAAATTGTGTATCAAATATATATAAATGCGATCTCATTTAAGTTTCCCTTTATTATCTCACATGCGATACCTTGGTAGATATATCTTTCATTTTATGATAATGTTTTAATTGTGCGTACACCTATTTTTTTTAAAAAAAATTAATACTCTTCACACACATGAAATGTGTAATTAATATACTCTATTTATGATCATTTTTTAGCTCACGATGAGTAAAGTAATAATTTTTGAATTCAAATAGAATCAGTCAAATATATTTAAAAAAATATTTATTAATATACATAAAAAAGTGAAATAATTTTAAAATTTTATTTTGAAAAACATAATTTTTTTTAAAAAAGAGAGCAATGTATGTTCTTGAAAAACAATGTCATTCGTTAGGTTTTCACGAATGGAACACAATTTTAGCTCAAACAAAATCTATTTAATATATTTACAAAAATTCATAGATTAATACACATAAAAGAAATAAAGATAATTTAAAATTCCGATTTTATGATTCATAAACTCTAAAAAACAATGCATAGACTTTGTCGTCTTCAATATATGGTAATATCTATAGGTAATATAATTACAAAAAATTCTCATTAATATATATATATATATATGTAATTTGATTTTAAAACGGAATAAAAAGAATAATTTCGAACAAAATAAAACACAAGAAATATAACATAGATTAGTTAAATATCCAATCTAACATTATGGTACAATTTTTTCTCAAGAATTATTACTTCCAACTAATTTTTTATTTTTATTTTTTAAATAAAAATAAAACATTCTAAGGTCACAAGTGGATTTTCAATAGATTCATTATTTCCACTTGTTAAAGACCTCTTGTAATTATTATTATTTTCTCTATTACCATTTCCAGCCTCCGCCGGACTCCGGCGCCGGTCACCCAATTCCGATCTCACCCTTCCCGGTGACTTACCGGATTTCCTCGTAGACGGGCATCGACTTATGCTATTCCTCGTTCCTCCGTTATTTTGATCTCCACATATCACCGGTGACCTCGATCTCCGGCATGAACTCTCACCATTATCTTTTCTCGATAACCCGCCCGTATTCTTTCTCGACCCGACCCGACCCGGAGAATGATTCCGAATAAGACCCGACCCGGATAAGTGATCGGATTTTCTAGCGGGAGATGTGTTTCGAATCTGACCCGACCCGGATAGTTGATCAGATTTTCTAGCTGGAGATGTGTTCCGGACCCGACCCGACCCGGATAAGTTGCCGGATCTTCTAACTGGAGATGTATTGTTCCGGTAATTTGCTGGAGACCTCTGCCGGAATTCTGTGATCATCTCTTTTGGATCCGACCCGACCCGAATATGTCCGCCGAGATCTTTGATCGTATCTGACTCGACCCGGATGCTCTTACTGAGTTCTTTGGTCATCTCTTTCGGGTCTGACCCGACCCGTATTCTCTTACTAGGCTCTCGGGCGATCTCGTTTTGATCTGACCCGACCCGGGAGAATTCGTCTTTTGGATTGAAAATTCTTGCTATTTTGAAAACATGAGTGTCATGAATGTTACGGGACTGACTTTTTTCGATAGAGAATTTTTTTTCGAGAATATTATTTTGTTGGTCATGAATACTATGGTTTATGGGGTTATTGATAATAATCGGAATTTCCGATAGAATTTCCTTGACTTCTTCTTCTTGTTCTAGAAATGGAAGGGTTAATGGTGGAGATCTATGAGTAGATGCGGACTGTAATTCGATATTAGAATTTGGTGGAGCTTTTTCAATAGAACTAAGAACACAACCCATGTTTTTGTTGGATGTTTGAAAAATTAAAAAGGAAAAAAGTTTCACGATATAAGTATTGCTTGAGCTTATAAAAAAAAAATTTGAAAAAGCTAGGTTACGAATTTTAAATCTAGAAAAAGAACATCAAAAATGGATATCGAGATATATCGAAAGATACTATCGATATGAAGTTATGCTTTGAAAGTGATGTACCATAGACCAACACATTAGAGCAAGTGTTTAGATGTGGAGGAGTTTTTTGGTTGAAAGAGAAATATAACAAAAGTTTGAAGCAAAAATTCATAAATAATATATTTTATCAAATAGAATAACTTATCGATCTATAACCTTGCGATCTAAATCATATTTGATATTAATATAATAATAAGAAATAATTGAATCAAAACTTCGAACTTAAAACTTAAAACTCGAAACTTGAAAGATAGAAAAAAATTGGGAGGGAGTGAATGGAGGGAAATGGAGGAGAATGATAAGTCAATGAAGTGTATATATCTATTGGTATATAATTTAATTAATTATATTATGTATTAGACAGGTAGGATGATATTGATTTGCATTAATTGCATGGGGTTGGCTTGTCAAATAATTAATAAATGAATAAATAAGTAAATAAATAATATTAATTTAAAATGAATGTAATTTTATTTCGTATTTGACTTGTCAAAATAGTCTTTGAGTTGTTTTTTTATATTTTAAAAAAATAATTTTTTTAAGACGATTCAATCAATATAAAAAAATATCATTTGCAGAACTTATTTTTAAGCTTTCACAAAATAATTTATTTTTTTTAAAAAAATAATTCTAAACAAAAAAAAATTCAAAGTTTAATTTATTAAACATGAAAATATTTGAAAATATTACTTAACTCAACCTTAAATGAAGCGCAGGGTGGGGAATGGTGGTAGGAGTAGGGGTAGAACCATAGGATATGGAAAAAAGGAAGAAATTAAGAAATGATTAGGGTTTAGTAATCGTATTCTTTCCGTTCATTATTATTTATTATGATTTTTATTTTTAAAGTAAAAAAAATTGCAATGTATAGTACTTTACATAGAGTTTTTTGGATATCTAAATATATTGTTTAAAATATCGAATTAATATAATCTAATTTAACTTTGAAAATTAATCAAATTGACTTTTGAAAAGCGCAACATAACAAATAAAAATAAATGTAGGCATTAATCTTTATGATTGTTGCTGCTAGATTAGTAATCCGTCCACTAATCATATGCATGTGAAATTATGAAATTGATCGGTATGGATTATGATGGAATAATTAAGATTCAACAATCCTTAATTAAAAGTCTAGAATTTGAACTCCTTAAAATAATTGAAAGTCCCGCCCTAAAAAATAGACCATGTAATTCATAAAGTAAATTTAATTTAATCCTATTGCGAGAATATCAGACACCAAGTAATACCAAAAACTACAACAAGTGATACAACAAAATGTATAACATTGGTTACTAAACTTTGTTTGGCACAACAATTACAAAAATATCTTAATTTTTTGACAAATTTTTGAAAATATTAGAAGTAATTTTCTATTAATTGACTGAAATCGTATTGTTACATTTTTAATCTGTTCTCAAATATAAATATCAAACCACAAATAAAAAAATAATTATCTTACATAAATATTATGTAAATTGTGATTGGTGGCACTAGATCTCTCTCCTTATAATATTGTAAATTTAGTGATAGGGGAACTCCATTCTTTTAAATTAAAAACTTTGACTTGGATTAATCTAATGTATATAATTAGATCTGATCTAATCCTTTTAAATCTCTAAATTTATATAACTATAATACTTTAATAATTAATATTTTGAAAGTCTTTAAAAAGAAAAAAAAGAGGTGAAATTTCACATGGCTTAATCATATTTGTAAATGTGATTTTTTTTTAAAAAAAAATTATACACATGGCCTGTTTCTATTCCAAATCCATTAAATAATTCTTCAATTTCCTTGATACAATATAAAAATCTTAAATCCATATATGAAATACTTTATTAATTCGAATTTTTACTTATTTCTATTATTGATCAGAATTGAGTTCTGAACTCTGAGAATAAAGAGATTTTTGAAAGAAAACACTCTTTATATAGATATAAAAAAATATAAATTCAAATATCGATCGATTTTTAGTAAAACAAAATTTAAATTATAAATCCATCTAAATTTATTTTGGGGTTGCTTGTGAAGTCAATTGACTATAAATGGTGTGTGTGACAGAGTATAATAACAACAACTTCACAAATGAATTAATGAGTTTCTGAATTTCCTCAAACACATGACAATTCAATGAAAGATTGGTCCATGACACAAAACAATTATGATTGAAGTTCATGGCTTTGTCTTTTGTATAATAATGAATTTTTTTTATTTGAGGTTCGATATTCAAATTGAATATTGAAATTCGATTGAATTTTGAATTTGCGTATTATATAGTTTATTTTAAAAAATGGCACTCTCGACATACTTTTTTCATTTTTAAGAATGTGATCTTTAGTTAAAAATAGAGAGCTCGGGATGAAGTAAAAAACAGTTTGAGAATAGAACTAATTTCACTCCTAGTTCTGATAATCAAATTTGAAAACAACAAAACGTCAAAAGTAGTTGATAAATATATATATATATTTTTTTTTCAAAATTATCAACTTAAATTAGGGTTTAAGACTATACTTCAATTGAGGAAATAAATCATGATGAGGATTTCATTTATTAAAGGAGGCAGCATGGTCCATTAAGTTTCATCTGTCCATTTTGCATTTAATATATGTCACCTACTAATTTTTGTTTGGTTATATGGGACTTTTATTTATTTTCTCTTAATTTATATGGTGATATTTGATAGAAAAATTTAACCCCTTTCTTCTCAAAATAAATATTTTTTTAAAAAAATTAACTTAACTAATCTTTTAATTTAAATTGGATTAGATCGATACAATATCACTATCACTTCAAAAAAAAAATTAGAATTATCTACTATTCGAACAATTCTCTCTTTGTAGTCACGTCTTATCGTCCTTTTATGGAAGGAGGCTTTAGGGTGAACCATGAGCCCATTCCAATTTCTTGGGCCAATGGAAATGGTTGGCCCAATAAGAAACATTGAGGAAGAGGATTACAATTATGGCCCAAATAGAAATATTGACATTGAGGAAGAGGATTACAAAAATAGCCCATTTGTGTCCTAATGATGTGTGTTAAAGAATAACACAAAATACACAAATATAATCATCAAAAATTGTTTGGATAATAAGACACTACTTGTTAAGCAATTTGATCAACACTTCATCATGGTACTTGAAAATGTTAGAGAAATTTGAAATGCAAGATGTTTCTTTACGGAGATCTGTCATTATTGTATGTTCTCTGTCCTCCCTAGGATCCAACTAATTTGAATTCGACAAAAAAATCAACTTTCAGAAGTAAAACACTACATACTAAAAACGACTTAAAGGCACTACCCATTGATTCGAAGTTGGGGATTCGATTAAAATTAGGTTTTAGTAATTCTAACTAAAAATCGGAAGTGCTAGAATTCATATTAACAATTTTTAACTTCTATTCCGCAAATCTAAGTTTGATTTTTAGGGCTTAATTATTATTATTATTGAATATGAACTTTGTCCATGATACAATTCCCCATATTTTTATTGTACATAGCTAAGAAATAGATTTATTGGGAGATGAAATATCAAAATCTTATCAAATTCTTTTTAACGTCCGCTTTTTTCTATCTTCAACGATTTCATATTAATCAACTTTTATTATAAGAATTGCATCCTTGAAATGCACTTTTTTTAAAAAAAATAAATCTTACGTGAATGCAAGATATTTTATATTTATTTATTTATTTATTCAAGAACTCAAGATGATTAGCTATAGAAGAAGTTCATTAATTTACATATTAAAAGTCACTTGTAATATATAGTCAAGGCACCATTTCAAATCTCAAAAATCATGGTTAGGTGTGTTTTGTATTTATTCTTTTGTCCTGTTCTTAATTATTATTGATTAAACATGATTTGGAATTCAAATATTATTATTGTGTCATCATGCATTTGTATTGTTGAAGTGCCAAATTAATTATGGAGCTTAAACTTAACCAACCTAATCCATTTGATAGAATTTTGATTTATTAGCATTATCATATTCTAGTTCATAATACTTATTATTCGTCATAAAGATATATTTTTCATTATTTCATATCAAACTCCAAAATGTAAAGTAAATTCAAGTGATTTTTATAATTTTTTTTTTATCGTTTCGATATGTGAAATATTCACCTAAAATGTGATATACACCTCATCATCAGAAACTTATAAATCCTGCTTTAACCCGCCCTTTGGACATCATAGACATTACAAGACGTTGCATATCCCTTTAATTTCTTTCAATATTAGTCATAATACAATTGTATTATAATTTCATTAATTTTTTTTAGATGCATTAATCACATTTTAAGAAGGAAAAAAAAAGATAAAAATAAATATTTGATACATTTTTCCTAGATCATGAGTAGATTACCCATCACATCCAATAATCTTTTCTCCACTTAATCATGGTGTGAAGCATTTCTCCACTTTAGTGAGTCATGTATGCAATTTTATTTTTAGTACAAATAAATTTGATTTTAAATTTGGTAAATTAAATTAGATTTTTAAAAACAATTAAACCCAAATTCATAATAAATAGAGAAAACTTCATAAGATAACTTTAATTTAAAGCGTAATTATGAAAAAAATTTCATAATTATTACATCATACAGAAAAATTGTATCAATTAAAGAGTTGTATTTAAAGGATGAGTATCAATTATATCAAAGCAGGAATCAGTTAAAAATGTGTGAAAGAATTGTATCAACACATATATATTATAATACCCAAAATATAGCTACATTTCATTATTTTTTTGAAATTATAACTATTTGTATCATAAATACAATATAACACGTTACATATTTTTTCTTTAAATACTAAGTTTTTGGTTCT